GGTCCTTATCTCTTGTCTCCATGATGTTTTGGTTAAATGATGCAGGGACCATTAATGTGTCTCAGTTTCCTAATTTGTAAAAATCCATATAATAATATCTACCTTTCTGGCATTACTCTACATTTTACTCTTAATTGGGTAATAATAGAATTCATACATTATCATTTCCTTCCTCCTTTTTGTATTGCAAGAGATCTCCCTTATTTATTTAAGATTCTTTAAGAAGCCTTGCTAAGCAACACAGGAGGAGAAAGTCATATTAAAGTATCAAATAAAATAACTTCATTGGCTAAAAAGTAATCACACCATGTAACGAAACAAAACTTAGCTTTTGGTGTATGATTGAATTGGTAATCCGGCATAAAGTGGCCTTTTCTGACCTTCTGAGCCACAAGAAAAACTAGTTCCTCTCTATCCTTTAAAAATAATGCTTATGGGGTAATATAAATTGATTTTTGTAGGGCACACATAAGAAAAAACATGCACATTTAGATACACAATGAAAAAGACTATTTAGTGTTTGGTTGAATGGATCCTGCATGGATTTCACAATATCTTTTGCCTTAAGTTCATTAACTTTTAAGTTGGCACTCAATTAAATCAAAGGGTTTTTTTTTTTTTCATTCAGAGCCATATTTAAATAACCAATTGCACTCATAATATTTACCATGCTAGAAAACATCATTATTTACTACAGGGAATATGTATCTGGGAATTCTTTTTTTAATATAATATTATGCCCACCTTCCTTTCTACCTGCATACTACATAATGATTTAATTTTTAAGTTACTCTGAATTGGAGGGCAATATCCAGATTTTTTTCTTTACCACATGTTTTGGTTTCTGAATATTTCACCCTAATAAAAAACCCCTGTGCATCTGCAGTAAATAAATCTGTGAATTGCTAATTGTTTCAAATTAACCCCATAGATCTTTAGCAGCTGTCTTTATGGCATTTTCAGACCACAAATTCAGCCTGTGTATTTCTGGGACTTTGATCATAAATCATACACACAGGCATAAAGGTCATATTGCCTCATGGATGGAATGATATCTGCATCTGTACTCTGTCTCCTTTGTGAGGGGCAGGGCACTGTTCATCTCCTTCTCTCTTCTTCTTCAGTCAGCTTGGGCTACCTTAACAAAATATCACAGACTGAGCAGATCAAGCAAAAGAAATATATTGTCTCACAATTCTAGAGTCTGGAAGTACAAGGTCAATGTATCAGGACAGCTGAGTTCTGATGAAGCCTCCTCTCTGGATATGAATTCTCAGATACATATTTCTTCCACACAGACACCTTCATGGAAGCCTCTCCTCTGTGCCCACACACCCTGTTCTTTGCTTCTTAATAGGACACCTGGCCTATTATTTTCGGCCCCACACTTTAACCTTGATTACCTCACTAGTGATCCTCCTAGAAATGCACTCTTATTGGGCCTTCGGGCATGCACATATGAATTTGGGGGAACACAGTTTATTCTGTAGCACTCTTAAAGGACTGTGCCAGATATCTCCCCTTCAACCCTCAGGTCTTCTCTCCACAAGCTCTGGGCCGGAAGGACACTGATGCCCATGACCTCTGTCTATGGACTCCTAGTTCACTGGCTTCTGGCAGGATTGGGCCCATGGAGTACACTGGAGGGAAATAGATATGGGAGGAGGGGATTGGGGCTTCAGTCCATGTGCTGCCCACCTCCCTGCAGGGTCAATGTGGGATAGTGTGTTCCTGACCAATTCCTGCTAGTCCCTCTATCTTCAGCCCTGGGGACTCTCATGTCCTCATGTCCCTTCAGACCTGGAGATGTTTAGTGAACACACTCTGTCCTTGGGGGCTTTCCTGTTCCATTGTAAAGTGAATCCTTTGAATTGTCCCTTTAATAGAAGGATGTCTCCTCTGGAAGGAACATTTTCAGAGCATCAGCGACCAACTGTCCTTGTCCCCCAGACCTCTCTCAATCCAGTGGTTCCTCAAAGGACTCTTTAACAGTGTCACTGTTCCTCCATAGTGATTTTACTTGTGGGTGCTGCCAGAATAGGAAAAACAGTCTTTATACTTCTGAGGGAGCCCCACTAGTGTTGGAATTTCCAGGGAAATTTTGGTTTGGAATCAAGGTCTTTTGGTGCTAAGGAAAAGGCATATATCCTTTATTAATTCTAATTCTCCCACTAAGTCTGCAGTGAACTTGGAACTGGTCTGCTTTTAGATCCTAATGTCAAGCTGAAATAAAGACACAGGAGATTTGGCTGAAAACAGAATAATAACCACTAGACCTCATTTTGCCCCTGTCTATTGTAAGGGTTAAAGGCACAGACTTTGGCTCTGGTATTTCAGGTTTGGCTCTGGAATTAGCAAGCCTTTCTCAGTTGCCTTTCTCAGATGCCTCTCAGTTTGCGCATCTGTAAAACGATGATAATATAGACTTGGATAGTGCAGAATAAAACTTGTACCGTTCTTGGTGCAGGTTTCTAGAAATTTTGACCTCTGTTGTTTTTGGTACGCAGTAGACTTTCTATGAGTAAAAACCCTTTCAATCATAGTGTTAAAAAAATTACCCCCTGAAGAGAGGAAAGTTTATTTCTCAAAATAGTTCATGGTTGGGGCTGGGGTGTGGCTTAGTGGTAGAGCGCTTGCCTAGCATGTGTGAGGCACTGGGTTCGATTCTCAGCACCACGTACAAATAAATAAAATAAATGTCCATCAATAACCAAAAAAATTTAAGAAAATAGTTCATGGTCTTGGAAGGTTGATATAAAAAGGGAAATAAAAATATTTTCTAAGCTTACCAACCAGGATTACTTCTTGTCCATTGTCACCGTATGGTAGACTACGTGTCTAACGTGCATACACACAGGCACGCACATTTTTTTCTAAACTGAAAACATACTTTTCTTTTTGCAGTCTACATTTGTAACTACATCATAAAAACAAAAGTACTTTCTGAATGTTTTCTTAAATCAAATTACTTTTTGAAGATATTTTAATAGAATTTTATACGTGGGCACACAATTCATAATTTTACCTAGATCAGTGAGTGGATGTGATTGTATCTGCTACTCTTTCCATTGCCTTGTGGTTCCTAATCTATCATGCTTTGTGTTGTTTAAGTGAGGTGGGGTTTTTGTGCCATGGCATGGGCTCTCTTGACTTGCCAAGAGAACATCCTTTAGGTCTGCAATGTAGCCCCTCAGTGCCTGATTGAGAGGGAAGTTGTTGGTGATGAATGAGTTGGAACATTCTTTTCTCTCTGCCTTTTTTTTTTTTCTTTGTCTCTGAGATCTAGATGTGAGTCAGTCACAAGAGTTTCTGTCCCAGTACACACACCAAGGTGAGGTATAATTTCTGCTTGCGATTGACAAAGCATTCAGGGAGATTCTTAGCTAATGACGGCATGGCGAGTTTTGTATTTTGCTCTGTCTCATGGGTATCATGATAGGAAGCTGAGGGATGGTGAGCCAGGTCCAGGCCCAGTGTCCAGCAGCAACAGCAGCCGGAGTTGATTCCCCCCTGTCTTTATGGCTTTCTCCCCATTCCTGTGTAATGATATTGCATTTTCCAAGTTGAAGGACAAAACCTGTGTTCTGGTTAGTCAAATCATGTCATAAATATTCTATTTCTTGAGAATTCAAGGTCAGAGAGAGTTTATCTGGATACTCCAGATTCTTTATCATCTCTTTTGCTTTGGCTCTTTTCCCAGAAGTTCCAAGACAACATCTTAAATACTTTTCCCTCCACCTGTAGCAAGAAATACAAGGCCTTGAAGGAAGAAAGAGACTCAGCCATCAACAGTTATGTGACTTTGGTTCTTACTTCCTGACTCAAAAATGATGCATTTGGCCTAGATGTCCTCCAATATGCCTTCTGGTTTTAAAATGATAAAACTTACTTAGGATTTCAACTACAGCTATTCCCAGAAATATTTCTTATTTTGACTTACTTCAGTTTTCTCCTGAAAACATCATCTTATCGAACCAGAGTTGCTTTACTTCATGCATCTGCATTCTACTTTACTTCCATTCTTTAATTACTTAGGGCCTTAAGAGAATCTTTTAATTATCTTATTTTAAGTGACCAAATTTCAGCATACAGAACGTGTCTCTGTCTCCTAGCATTGTAAGAAAAAAAAGTTAACATATCTGGTTGAAGAAGTTATCTGTGGCCAAATACATTTGGAAATTACATTAGAGTTTACACCGTTCTCAGAATTTTGAAATGAGCATTCACTCATTAAAGGTTCTTAGAAGTTTTGCAATAAAGAAGGTTACTTAAGATTAACTCAGGGATTCCAAAATATATGCAATCTTGAAATCCTTTACTATTATAGTGTTATTAGCATGCCTCAGTAATCAGCATCCACACCATGAATGGGGGAGGTTGGCTCTAGAAAGAATTGCATAGTTGGTACATAGTTCTGCTGCTCACTGACAATGGGATTCAGCATAAATGCATAACCTCTCTAGAACTTGTGCTCCTCAAATATAAAACAATGATGCATAATCACACCTACTTCATGGTGGATATGAAGATTTAAAGCAATATTATATGACTAAGGGGGTTACAACTAATAACATTCCAATTCTGGGGTCTGGCTATCTGGATTCAAATTTTGGCCCTACTATATAGGTAACCTTAGAAACACCATTTAACTTCTGTACCCCATTTCCTCATTTGTACAATGGGAACAAAAATTTCACAAATATTTTAAGGTTGTTGAAAGAATTCAATCCAATTCAGGAAAAGCATTTAGAATTTTTCTCAGTTCATAAATTGTAGCCATTATTAGTATATTCACTGGTGCTTTGGATACTTGCATGACTGTTTCAGTTTATTGAAATAACTCCTCTTACCCCCTCTGAATGCTGTTTAAATACAGTGAATATTATTGACATCCTGCACACATCTAATTTTGCCCTGTTTTTTTTCTGATCTTCTCTCCATCTAGTGTTGTGGTTCTCATCTTTTCACACCGTCATTTAGCTCTCTCTCTTTGTCAACAGGGGCGGAGAGGCCTTGGCTCTGTGTTTGTCTGGGCATCTGGCAATGGTGGAAGGAGCAAAGACCACTGCTCCTGTGATGGCTACACCAATAGCATCTATACCATCTCCATCAGCAGCACAGCAGAGAGTGGAAAGAAACCTTGGTACCTGGAAGAGTGTTCATCTACACTAGCCACAACCTATAGCAGCGGAGAGTCCTATGACAAGAAAATAGTATGTGACATTTGCATGTCTCTCATTATCTATTTATTTCATGTTCACTTTGAAATACGAAGAAAGAACCATAAATATATATGTACAAGTAATAGGTGAGATTAGCTGATGATACTCAACACAAGTCATTGTAAATATTGTCATTCTGTTACTAATTCATTGAAAATGCTTGGCTCTATTGTTATAGTCAAAGATTGAATGTAACTTTAGACATGAATAAGCATTGGTTTTATTGAGCAGAAATGATTGGTCCACATTTACATTGTGAATTAGTAGCAGAGCAACTAAAAACTTGACCCATCTCAGTGCCCTATCACTGACTTAACCTTAGCTGCAGTTCTTTGGTGTCTAAGTCCAGCTAATTTGAAAGTATATATAAAAGTATGTAAGGAAACTTAGAACCAATCTTTTGCAGATACCAAGGAATGACTTGTATTTATTTAACTTGAACTGTACCTATATAAAAGGTGCTGTGCTTCTTTTTTTTCCTTCTCTTTTAATACCAGGGATTGAATCAAAGTGTGCTTAACCACTGAGCCACATCCCCAGCCTGTTATATTTTTATTTTGAGATGGGCTCTCACTAAGTTGCTCAGAGCCTCACTAAGTTGCTGAAGCTGGCTTTGAACTTGTCATCCTTCTGCTTCAGCCTCCCAAGCTATTGGGATTACAGGTGTGTACCCCCAGAAAAGTGCTTTTCTAAGACTGCAGCATACAGTCTGGATGGAGAAGAACAGAAGTCCTACGAGGTGAACATGTCCTCTTTTCTAGGCAAGCAGAAAAAGGATTAAAAGTTCAGGTTGCCGGTCCAGTCTACATAAGTTTCTTTCACTCTTCAGCTAATTATCAGTTGGGAACTTTGGACAAATTACTTGGTCTTTTTTTCTCAAAGACATTCTTTATAAAATTATTATTTATCCATGTATAGCTCACAGTTATAACTAAGATAATGAGGAAGTCAATAGAAGTGCCTAACCTATTGATGATTAAGGAAACGCTGACCTTTGGAGTGCCCAACACTGTGCTGGCGATTCTAAGTTTCAGACACCTTTGCTCTTGGTTATTTCTCTGATTGTGGTTTTGTAAACTGTCTCAGCATTTGTCTTTCTAAAGTGGAACAGAGCTGCTCTACCTGATACTTGATAGCATTTAACCAAGATCCTGCTTTCAGATCTTGCAGAGCCATGCAGGTGTGGCATATAGGAAAGAGAATAGGGCACTGCAGTTTGAACCCTCTAATCCCCAAATCCACCACAAGTGGAAAACTCCGCACCATGAAATTTTGTTTGATGCATAAAATCAAAGTAATTTATATAATTACCTTCAAGCTATGTATATAAAGTGCACAAGAAACATAAAAGAATTTTTTGTGCAGACATGGCTCTCATACCCAATATCTCATTATGTATATGCAAATTGTCCAAAATCTTTAAAAAATCCACCATTCCATACACTTCCAGTCCAGGCATTTAGGATAAGGAATATTTGACCTGTACCTCCTTCATGTAAAGCATGTTTGGGGGGCAGGGATTGTTCTACCACCAAACTATATCCCTAGCCATTGTTTTTTTTTTTTATGTTTTTGTTGTTGTTTTGTGTTTTTATTTTGAGACAAGTCTCTCACTGCATTACCTAGGCTGGCTTTGAACTTGTGATTCCTTGCCTCAGCCTCCTGAGTTACTTAGATTACAGGCATGTGCCACCTAGCCTTCTTGTAATTCTTGATCCAAATGTATTCAGTGTCTCTTAACTCCCGCTTGTTATGATTCTTTTTTATGCTTGATTTCTCAACTGCTTTTTACTACCTTTAGTTACATTTTGTAGACTGGTTTACGTAGAAGATGCTTACCCATGTACATATCCCCATCTTTCCCTAATTCATCCACATGGCTGGATTTAAAAATATACATGATGGCCTGACAATGCAGTTCAGTGGTAGAGGACTTGTCTAGTAAGTAAAAGGCCCTGGGTTCGATCCCCAGTCCAAGAAAAAAAAATAATAATAATAACAAAAATATATGTAAGCCCAACGGTCAGTACTTCCACATCATTCATCAGTAAGAATAACTCCAAAACATAAAGTAAAAGATGAAAATGCAGAGATTTAACCCTGTAGAATGTCCTACATCCCCAGCCTTTCCTTTTGTTGTTGTTGTTTTTAGATAGGGTCTCACTAAGTTGCTGAGGCTGGCTCAAACTCACAGTCTTCCTGCCTCAGCCTCCCAAGTCTCTGGGATTACAGGCATGCACCACTGTGTCTAGAAAAGTCTGGCTTTCTTAATTAAAAAATGATGCTTCTGTGAGATTTTGCCTTTATTATGGAAATGAAGCTCTTTTGACTGGAATTAGCTCTTTTGCCTCTGTGTCCCCTAATTCATAGTCAGTGTCCACTAGTGCTGAGTCACATTTGTCATTTCCTGTGAAATGGAGGTGATATCAGCACCAAACTCAGAGATTTCCTGAAGCTAGAGGACACTGAGAATAATGACAAGCTGAGCATCGAAGCTCTAAAGCTTGAGGCACTGTTGTTACCGGAGCCAGTAACCTACTGCACCCTGGGAGTGCAGGCTGGTCGTTTTTCCAGCTGCTGTTAACAGAGGTGCTTTTTGCACCTCCGTTTTTCCAACCTAAGAAATACTGTGCTCTGTTCCACCCACTCCATAAAGAAAGGCACTTTGATGGCGAACATGTTAACAGTTTGAACATGAGTGGAGCTGGCAGCGACATCAGCCTTTTATGGTCCAGCTGACCCCTTTTCCTTCAAGATGTCAGAATGATGAATAATCCCGCCTTATGCCTGGGACCTTGCTTCCACCAGGCTTTGAACCTAGACGCCTGTGGTCCCTGGGTGATGCCCACATCCTGTTAGTGGCATCTGTGATTGAGTGCTACAGGAATGGCAGTGTCTTCCTTTGTACTGGGCTCCCTTCCCTGAGCCATTCATTTCCTTTTGTCATTTGCAGCCTCTCCAGAAGAGTGCAGTTGTCATTCTTCATTCATACAGCACCTTTGTGATTTGAACCGAGACAGTCACAGAGGACCTGAGGAGAGGGGAAAGAACTCCTCTCAGCTTCTGGGAAAGTACTTTTGTCAAATAAATTGTACTTGTCCTGGACAAAATGCTTTTTCATGGTTTGCAAGCAGGGAAATCTTGTCCCAGGTTTCAAAACATAGCATCATCTCTGTCCCTGCTTTTCCTGCCATTACCATTAGCACAACTCTGGACATTGGTATGGTTCTTGCTTTCGTACATTTGGATTGTTGGTGGCCTTGTGGCTCATTCCAGAAAAGGAAGCTTCCAAAATATAAATTTTATTATAATAATAAGCAGTAGTTATTTTTAAAGCCATGATGTGAAATCATATTTTATTAGCCTTACTTATATACATCATATTCCATATCTCATGCATAGTACATTTTTAGTTTTATTGATATGTCATAAAAATCATTTTTTTGCCCTAAAAATATGTGCCTGGTACTATGCACATCACATACATCATCTCATTATAGCTTTAAAACATCATGGAGAAGGATTATCATGCCTCCAATACTGATGAGAAAACACTTTAAAAAGTTAAAAAGGAAAAAAAATCACAACTAGAAAAAGTGTTCCACTCAGGATGGACCCCCAAAGCCATCTTGTAAATCTGTGTGCTGCCATGCCTTTGATACCTTCAATGACACCTAACAGATCTGTATGAAGGAACGGCAATTTTCTTACCTATTTTGTGTCTTTTTCACAGTGGTTAAAAAAAGAAACACTTAGAATATATAGGTGTCCATTGTATTTTCTATTCATTCCTCTTTTTTTAAACTTCATGCCTTTTCTTCTTTCATGACTCCCTTAATTAGACCTCCGACAAAATCTAAGGCACAGCACTGAGCTCCCGAGATTGCACCTTTTGGGTGATGTTCAGACCAGGGCTCCATCCTGTGTTCTCTGTTAGAAGCATCCTGTCCTCAGATGCCACTTCCTTTATGTCTCTTCTCAGATTTCACTTCAGAAAGGATTTTCTTCCTTCCCTTCCCTAAAATAATAGCAGTCCCCTCCTTCTCCCTCTTCTCCTTTTTTCCTGTTCAATTTTCCTTCTAGTGCACTGAGAGCTACTTAACATGGTCATATTCATTTTCTTATTTGTTGTCTGTTTTTCATGCTGGAGTGGGAAATACTTGGGGACGATAAACTTTTATTTCTTTCCAAAGTGTGGGAGCTCAATAAACATTTGTGCATGATTATCAGATATTTGGGGTTCTTTTTTGTTTGCATTTTTTGGAACTGGGGGTCAAACTCAGGGCTTCAAGAATGTAAGGCAGACGCTTTGCCACTGAGCTACATCCCAGCCCTGAATATCAGACATTTGGAAGGATGGAAGATTCACAAATGGTCTATGTAGACACAGGAGGACAGGGAGGGAGGCTCTCTTTTTTTTTTTAGAGAAACTCTTTCAGTTGGCAGATTAATGGAAGGTAATTGATATTTGATAGTATATTTAGCATTGGAAATAAACAGGAACCTTGCTATATAATAAAGCTGTACATGTCACCCTCCTTAATGTCCAAGAGCATTCAGATTCCACCTGTGAGCGCTCACTGCCCCTCCACCTTTCTCACAAGTTCAATCGTCTGGATAAAGCTCTCCTCTCTCTCCATTCACTCTCATCATTAAATTATCTCTTTCTTTTGGGACTTGCTCAGCCTTTGACATTTTCCCTTAGTCATTTGTCTTGGTGATTAGGATATGGGTCCATTGTACCTTCAGGGAGGGATTCTGTGAGCCAGGGTTTGAAGCATGTATGTGCTGCTTAACCCTCTCCCAATGTCATTTATTTTATTTGTGTTCAGAAAAAAAGAAACCCTGCTGCCTGGTATTTCAGGGTTGTTCTAAATGACCAATTCCACATGGAGGATTATCTTGTTGCTTTTAATGCTTGTAAGCAGAGGCACTTTTTTTTTTCCAGAAACACCTCCACCTTCCACCTAATTCATTTTTCAAATGCTGTCACCATCTGTACCATATTATCCTCTATCATCTCTGTTCCTCTTTTTAACTTAGCAAACACCATTATTTTTCATAAGTAAAAGACTAGCAAATCCAAATGTATTTAGTATGTTTGGAAGTTTGATCCACATTCTGTTGAGAATGTTAAAAAGTGAAAAGAAGACCCCATTTCTGACAACTTCTGATTTTAACGGTGCCCTGAAGGAACATTGCCGTACCCATTCGCTAACTTGGGCTGGGACTCAAGCTCAGTGCTACCATTGCTACTGCTGCCCTGGCTCTGTTGCTTTTGTTCTCATAGAGGACTATCCACTGAAACTCAGTTTCTTTTGCTGCTGTTTCACATTTTAGTATCTTCACCACTCCCATGCCCATTGGTTGCTCTGTGTTCTCAGGCAAGTTATTTAGTCTCTTTGAGCCTCCATATTCTTAGCTGGTAAATATATCTTCCTTGCAAAGTTTCTGTGGGTTTGTATGTACTTTTGGACACTGCTTCACTTGCTACAGGTTGTTTTAGGAGAAGCAGTGGGGTAGTAGTAGTAATTGTGCAAATAGTGCTATAGTTGAACCCCTGAGTTGTATATATACAGGTACACACAAATTTTTTTGTAGGATGATTACAAGTTTCTGTGATCAGACAAGAAAGAGACAGACAAGAAAGACATGACTTTAAGGCCTTTCCTAATGAGTGGGAAAGTTATTCCTAATGAGAGGGAAACCCTTCCTTGTGGGGTTGCTTAGAGTTTAAAGCTTTCCTTAAAATGAGCATATGGCAGATTGATCTTAGCAGTTTATCTTAGCAAATACTGTGCTTTTCTTTGTGCATGGAACTGAGCTGAACATTAGGAAAATACAACAATAATTTGAGATGGGATCCCTTTACATCATAGCAACCTCACATTTATAAGCAAAACCTAAGCTTGTACTTCACACTTACAGCTTCTCTTACCAACAGGGGAGTGAGGCTTTGGACTGACTTGTCATTCATGATTGAATTCCACACCATTGTGAACACAAAAAACATTCATTGGTCCTCGTTCCTTTTTATGTCACTGTGCTTGATAAATCCACTCCTTCTCCTTTATTCATCGATAGAGTTAAGATTCAGCTTCTGCCCTTCTCCCCCATAATGGTGTCTGAAACAGCTTTCTTGGCACATGTCTAATCCAAATCAAAATCAACACCAGAAACAGACAGCAGAATCACTCCATGTTTTAAAAATATCTGTTCAGTTGCTCTTTTAAACAGACAGGAGACAATATGGATCCTTCAATGTAAAACGTGTCACAGGTCATCGTGGAGAGAACACCCCCCGCCTTTGTGGGGTTGCTGTCAAGGCCTGTCACTTAGGGCCAAAATCAATCTGCACTGTGATTCCCTAGAGAACCGCATCGATAGCTTATAATCAAAAGCCCAATCAGCTCAAATAATGAAATGTGACATACTAGGAAATAAGATCTTAGGATGAGAAAAAGTGGTGATGGAGGAGGAGACTGGCTAGACCTAAACAGTACCCCCTTCTCACCAAGTAAAGATCACATCCGAACTTTGTGGAGTCCAAAAAACCATCTGCTACTGATCCTGAGAGGCTGAAAAAAATCTAATTTGCTGATCAGGCCAGCTTTGATCTGGCTCAGGGCCTGATGTCCTCCTCTCCAGCTTCCTTCCCTCCGATGGACACAGATGATATTTTCTTGAGCAATCTGAGAGGCTCTTTGGAGGCAAATTCTGTTTCTGATTTGGGTAGTGAATTGAGGGAATCTGTAGCATGCAGGATGTGCCACCAGGATCGAGACCAACTTCTGAGACATTCTTTCGAACATCTGACATTAAAAGTGCTTTATTGTCTGGCTTTGCACATAGAATCTCTGGACTCTCCCTGCCCCACATTCTGTGCCCAACTTCCAACACAACTTTCCTTTTAATGACACTGTCAGGTCCTACTTGCATGCGTTGTGATTAATGGGGTTACCTCATGTGCTTCCAGTTTGGAGAACATCATTTTTCTTCAAGATTGCATTTTCCTTGGTGGTCTTTGCCTTTTCTTTCTAAAGATAGACATAAAAATTCTCCTATACTGTGACTTCTCTAAATGATGAGAACTCCAGCTTAGAACTTCTCAGTAATTTACACCTAAATAGCTCCACCACTGACAGTAACTTCCTCTTGAGATGCTCCAGCTGCAATGTCCACTTAAAGCAGATGAGAAGGGAGTGAGGATGTTGTGATTCCTCCCCCCACCCCCATTCCTTTTAACCTTTTCCCTTTCTGTCACCTGCCTACTCCACCCCTTTCCCACCCCTACTTCCTACTCTCACTTTTCTTTTAGGTAAACTGATTGGGGGAAAAAAAATTAAAATGCAGCACAATAGTGACTTGGAATTCCCCAGACCTGCCTATGTGAAGAGCGTTTAACACCTCATTGGTGTCTATTTATAAAAGTCCTAAACAGTTTTTTATTGAAGTCCGTGTTATGTGATCTATACCGAATGACTCTATGTGGATGAGGCATATTCCTGTTGCAAACCTGACATGAAATTTTCATTGTTCATGTTTGGCTGGAGGTGGTTATTTATTAGACTCAAAAGTGCTACACACACTTGGAGTGTTGATTCTGGATTTGTTTCTGTGTGTTGAAAGTGTCTGGTGCAGCTGAAGAATAAGCCAGGAGAGCCAAGTTGGGAAATAGCATGAAAAATCTTGAATCCAGGCACAAGTCATTGAAAAAAAAAAATAATAAAGCATAGACAAAGGAATGTGACCATGGCTGAGGTAAAATGAAAGGAATGCAGGCAAGGCCATCTCTCAACAGCAGTGACTCTGGAGACCAGAAAATAAAGCTGCAGATTAACCTAAAATTTCAAAAGAAGTAGAATTACCTTTTTAATGATCCAGCAATCTCAGTTTTGGATATATATTTGAAGGAATTGAAAATAGGACCTTGAAAAGATTTTTGCACACACGTGCAAACTCTGCAGCTCTGTTCACTCCAAGTGTTCTCCAATAGATGGATGGATAGAGAATCGGCAAAATGGCGTATTATTCAGCCTTGAAAAGGAAGGAAATCCTGTCGCATGCTTCCATGTGGATGAACCTTGAGGACATTATGCTAAGTAAAATTTTTTAATGAGGAAAAGATGGATACCACAGGATTCTTCTTACATGTAGTACCTAGAACACATAAAAACACATAAAAACAGAAAGCAGAATAGTGGTTGCCAGGGAATAAGGGGAGGGGCGAGGAAGACTTGTTCCGTGGTTAGAGTTCATTCATGCAAGATGAAAAAGATCTAGAGATACTGTACAGCAGTGCTCATGTAATTAGTCTTACAGTACTGGACACATAAAAATTATACTAGGAAGGTAGATTTATGTTATACGATTTTTAGCACAATAAAAATACATCTTTAAAGTCAATAATGGAAAGTGCAGAAAACTTGTTAACAGTGTGGATAAACTCTGTCCATCCACACCACCGTATCCACGTGGTTCTATACGTTTTGGTTCTTCTTCCAACTGCTTTGTGCCATTACTCCTACCTCACACAGATAATCTGGTGGCATTAGAGGTGACATAAAAAACAAAAGATACTAAGAACAGATGGCCTCCTGTGAAACTGAATGAGCCAGGATGTCAGTCTAGAATGATAACAGATAATGGAAGACAGCCTTCTGGAACAGAGAAGAAACTCCTAAAGGGGAGGGGATTCAGCTCTCGGGAGTTGTGTAGCAAACCAAATTCGACTCATCTTTGCATTCCTCTTAAAGGAAGCACCTGGGGAAAACAGGGCTTTGTTTTCTGCTGCCTTTATCCTCCTTTACCTTTATGTTGACATATTTTTTTATCTGTAATAGGTAGTAACATACTTGTCTTATTGCCAAAGAAAGATTTACTGACGTCTTCAGTGATAGCAGTGAATCTGTGGACTCACCTCACAAGCCTGTGCCTTCTAAGCGCATGTGATATTAGTCCCAAGGGAGCAAAGATAGATTCTTCTCCAGGAGGGAGAATTTTAGAACTCTTACAATATTACAATGGTTTCCAGAAAGATCCTTCCCTAATATTTAATTTCTCTTATTAAAGGAGAACTTAAATTTAATTTTCTTCCTTAATGAGACCATGATGGAACAAAGGTTGAAAACCATTGCCCTTGCTGGATGATGATATTATTCAGCCACAGCTGAAGTGAACTGGATTCAATCCAAGAAAATAAAAATGATCTAGTTCTCATATTTTGATTAAAAAATAAAAATAGAGAAATAGGTAATCTCTTTCTATAATGGACAAGCAGACACTCTGTGCTTAAATTGCATATGAAGCATACTAGTCTGTCCTGTTGTATTTATGTGAAGTCTTTGAGGAAATCTTAGTTCGACCTTGCAATATTTCTATAAATTCTGGAAAGCTCTACAACCAAACTTACCTTCTATGGCAGAGTTTGTTTAGACTTTAGCTTGAAACCTACAGCACTCTCAGGGTAATGGTCTGGAAAAAGTGGGGGCTATATAGCTTTATTTCTTAGGTTCCCAATGCCAAGCTTAGTAGCTGTCGATTCAACACATTTTAATTATTTTAAAATATTGGAGCAATGAAAGAACTTTGGTTTTAACCAGAGCTTGTGCTAGGATGAACTATATGAGATGCCTGCAGTTTAAAATTAATAGAGTTTCTTGCCATAGGTTCCCCTTAGTCCTGATTCTGGCTTTAGTAGAAGTGAAGGACAATTTCCAAATCTTTTTCTCATCAAAGTCGGTTTACACAGGTGATTGTCTGGAAGCAATATTGTCACGGGTTGCAGGAACAAGAAATTACAAACAAATCTTTTAACACCCCTCTACTTCACTTTTGTGAGTAAATTTCATTCTACTTGCATATGACTTACATTGACCTCAGAGATCTGAATTTTTCACTTCTGTCTTTTAGATCACAACGGATCTAAGGCAGCGATGCACCGACAATCACACTGGAACATCGGCCTCAGCTCCCATGGCTGCAGGCATCATTGCGCTGGCCCTGGAAGCCAAGTAAGCCTTGATCTCTCTATGTATTCACTGGTGACAGCCCTAATCTCCAGGAAAATAGTCCTTCCCATGTATACAGTCCCTAGCATAACAACCCAGAAGATAGTCTTCCCAGCCCCACCTTGAAAACATCAATGATTTGGGCTTTACAAACATTTCCCTATATCAAGAACATAAGGAAGGGGGGGGTTATATGCTTAAAAAAATCGAACTGTGTAATTACTTTATTATGGAGTCATTGTATGAGCATGCCAATTGGCTCCAACCATCTTGCTTGGTTCTTTATTCTGGTCTGGGAATGTTCCTGTGAGTTTCAGAGTGGTTAGGTTGGCCCACTCATGTCCCTTTCTCCATGTCGCAGTGAGGCAGCACAGATTCCATGACAACAGCACCGTCACAGATCAACTCTGAAATACAGACGGTCAAGGCCATATGCCAGAAGCCCAGGGACAAGGACAACCCACTTATCTCAAATCCTGTTCAATATATCAAAATCTGTACCTAAAGATTTCTTTGAAAGTCCTCCTTAAGCTATTTGTACATAGGCTCATCTCCTCTTTATCTAAAAACAAATAGGTTAGTTTGTCATAGCTCTTTGAAAACCTAATACAGGTCTAAAATCTCTTGTCTACAATTTCAAAACCCAAAATGCTCAGGAAACTGAAAGTTCTTTTGCAAATTTAACACCCAAATTCATTGGATGGCAAACTTGTCCCAAACTGATTTCAGGCTATTTATGGTCTTTGCTCATTCCATTTATTGTGAAAATTTCTATTTTCACTGCAGAAATATTCACATATTTATGAGGTGCTGGCTCAGACCCTGCTGGAGGTTTTGTGTAAAATATGCTATGAACACCATCTCTGAAAAAATGTTGAGTTCCAAACACATCTGGTCCAAGGATTTTAAAAAGGGAATTGAGGGTCTGTTCTCTGAGGCTCTCCCTGTAGGAAGATCTCAGGAAAAAAAAGAACTGGAGTAATGACATCAATGTTTTTCCAAAAGTAGCTTTGCAAGCCTCCCTAGGGAGGAGTAGAAAGATTTGTCTACTCACATCTGAGGTAGAGCAATAGCAGGTGACAGGGAAAGAATCCAGGATAGTAAAGAGGCTCAGGTACTGGATTAAGAATGGGGCTGGTTCATTCCCACGACACAAGCAGCATCCCAACATTTATAGTTGCCACTCTGTAAGGGAGGAAGCCTATGTTAAGGCAGTCTGTCCTTAATATATATGGATATAGTAGATTGCTAAGTCATTTAAATCCTTGGGCTGAACCACAAGCAGAATCCAGGCTCAGGATGTGGTGCTCTATCTTTGGGTGGCCTCCCACATAAGCCTTGTCATGGGAGATATCCAAGCCCCTGTGAGCATTTGGATTTCTTTCTTTTTGACAAGGTTAAATATGAAGTCATTTAAAACATATTATATCTTTTAAGGTGTTAAAAGTTTGGGTTTAGCAAGGAACTGGCACTTCTATGAAATTCTCACTTTACAACTTTTCACTGAAGTGTTCTGGCAGAATTCTCAACTAAGTGTCTGTGTTTTTAATTTGGTGGACTCTAAATAGGATTTTTCAAGAAACATTGTTTTCTTTCTGAAATTCTAGGTTGCTTCTCTGGAACATTTTCCTATCCGCAAAATATTGAAGGGGAAAAAAATCAGGAATTTCTTTACCCCCCACACCCCCAAAAGGCTATGATCTCAGATTCAAATTTGGCATCCTGACACTGTAACTGGTGCTACAGAGAATCAGATAATGCTTGGTTCTTTGAGATATTACTGTAACATTGTTATTTTCAACAACAGTTCTTTTAAGCGCTATTTAAGTTGAAATGCAGAATCCTAACTTTAAACCTGAAACAACCCACTCAGTGAGATAAGGTCACTTTGGGGCTGGGCAACACATTCAAAGGCTGCAACTGTTCTTTTCTTTTGTGTGTCGAGCATTTTTCAAGATTTATTTTTGCCAAAACTGTGATGGGTGGAATGAAGTTCCCCAAATACAGGTTACTGGGAAATCCACTGTATTTTAAGATTTTAGCAATCCAGTTCAATCATGGGTCCAAAATAGATGATAAACAATCTGACAAAGAATATACCTTTCCTGTCACACCTTTGGTTTGACCTACAGGCCAATCTGTGCCTGTAAGTGCAGCTGAATTATAGAAAAGAGGTCCAAATACCGTTAAGAGTGGGTCAAGCATCGATATTAAACCAGCAGCAAAATAAGGAGTGGTGCTGCAGCTTGAGTGAAAATTACCTAAAACTAGAAAATTGAAGAGAGGAGCTCAAATAACAGTGCACTGAGACTGCAGTTGTTCTAAAACTAAGCCCAGTGCTTGCACATTCCCACCATCTCTTCAACAGCCCCGGCAGTCCTTGCAGTCTCCTATTACCCTTCTACTTCTCAATCATACTTGAACCTTGGTATTTTGAGATTTGGCCTTTACTATCACAAGCTGAAGAGCCAGATCTTCAAGATACTCCTTTGTAAGGGGAGAGGAGAAAAAGCTTCAGGAGGCAGAATTATGGCCTGGGATACTGCCTTGCTCTTCAGGTAGGCACAGCCTGCTACACCGGGGTCAGCTGAGTAACTGAATGGGCTGTGCCTTCAGATGACAAGCTGCAAACAGAGCCTGCTGTTCCCTGTTTAACGTCATGGTCCTACACTACAAGGACAGATGTATCATTTCTCTGAATGTCCCTAGATTGCAGTATTTACTCAATCATAGGGACATCAGGGAAAACACCATGCTCTGAGCTTCCCCTAGTCTGTCTCCTTCATGTTCCCCAGTTTCTTGCCCGCACAGGAGACTTGCCTGGATCAGTAGGACTGTAAGTCCTGTTATAGATGCTACTTTGGCCTATGGCCTCTCTGCCATTCTTAAACCTTCTCAGGAAATTAAGAGCAAAAATAACAAATACAAAACATAGAATCAGATAAGCTTAAACTGTCCAGATCTCTTATCTAACTTAATAATGTTTGATCATGAAATAACTTTGCTGTGACAGCCCACAGGACTCCCAGGACATTCTTTTCCTACAAGGTATACAGCAAACTACATTGCAATAAACTCCACTGTGTTAGACCCCCAGATTCTTGAATGAAAATAGTCCGCTCTCTTTCCATGGGTTCTGTACTTTTTTAATTAATATTTTAATATTTTACAATGTTAATTATTCATTAATAATGCCTCCATGGGTTCTGTACTTAAGAATTCAACCAACCATGGTTGAAATATTTGAGAAAAAGATCACATCTGGACTGAGCATGTACAGACATTTATTTCTTGTCATTATTCCCTAAAATAAGGCATTATAACAACTATTGACATACCAATTATTTTGTAGTAGGCATTATAAATAATCTAAAGATGATTTAAAATATATGGGAAAATGTGCATACGTTGATTTCAAATACTACATCATTTAATATAGGAGACTTGAGCATCTGTCGACTTTGGTATTTGCAAGGAGTCCTGGAACCAGTCCCCCACAGGTAGGGGTGACTGTGTTCTGTTCTGTTTCCAAGACTCTACTATTCTGGCTCCTTATTTTTTCTTGCTGAGTGTGAGCCTCTTTGGGTTGTTTTAAACTCTGCAGCCAACTCTGACAATCTTATGAATCTTACCTTGGGGTAAATTGGGTGATTTTTCCCTTGTTCCCAAAGATGCTTCTAGAAATCATAAGCAATTTCAAAATAAGTGAAAATACTATCATCTTTAAAAAGAAGGGAAAATAACTATTTTTGTGTTGGAGTGCCCTCAACACATATTTATTGGTTCAGAAGACATACTGTTTCAATTTTTTTATTTTGTGGTTTTTTAAAAGTAATTTGTTTCTGATTTTTCAGCTGAGTGAATAGGGAATAGGTAAGTGCTGATTACAAGAGAATTAACTGCCATCTGCTAGTTAAAATGATGTCTTTTATATAGTGAAATTCAAAAAGCTCAAAGTGCCCTAGGAAACAAGTATCTTAAAGAAGAAAATAGTAAAAGATGAGTACGCTAATTTTAGGTTAGCAACCTAGGAGAATACCAAGTCATATTTGTAAGGAGCTTTTCATCTACTTATTGGCATGTGTTGTCAGTACTCTAGACCTGTGGAAAATAAAACAAAAAAGGAGCTTACTAGCAACTGATGTTTCACATAAATGGTTGAAATTACTGACATTCATAAAAGTAGAGTGCTCAGAATAACAAACTATGTTTTGCTGAAAGTCTTCCCGACCTAAGTCTGCAATTATTAGCAAATAAAAGCCATTTCAGTGGAGTCTTTTATAGGTTAAAGTGTCATATTAACTCAGGAAATTCAAATTTTAAATTCCCCAAAGCAATCTTTTGGCTTGAATTGCAAAGGGCCTTTTATTGGACATTTGAAAAATATATGTTCAACAACCAAAAGCAGTTACTCTACATAGTGAATGGCAAACAAAAGTCACTGAGTCAGATAGAAACTTCTGGAATTATTTAGAACATAGATGAAGGTATTGGTAAAAAAAAAAAAAAACCTTCCAGAAACCCTTGGTTTCAGTGATCCAATTTTCCTCAAATTTCTCAACTAAGAGGCCACGGAAGTACCATACTTTGAGAAAACCCAATAAAACTAGTTCTAAATTTAGAAAATGAGAAAATGGGATGGCAGTTATTATTCTACACTAGAAATATACCTGATATATATTAAACATGAGCTGCCATGGTATACTATGTACACACGCACATACACGCACATACACACACACACACACACACACACGCAATCGGATTTACATGTTTCCAGGTAGGCTCATCTGCTTTTTCTTTTTTTCTGTTACAATTTTCCTAGTACCACTGGTTTATAGAATACGAATGACACATAATGTTTAAGGAACATGAAATATAATTATAGGTCACTTATACAATTTCTTATTGTTCTTTAGATATATTCATATGTAATATCTTCCAAAGAAACTTAGTTTCTTGGGAAATAGGATTATGTCTTATAATCTTTATTTATGTGTATA